TTTCCTTTTCTCCTTTGCCTTCAGCTTCTCTTCTATTCACAGCTATTTGTAAGGCCTCCTCAGACAACCATTTTGCCTTTTTGCATTTCTTTTCCTTGGGGATGGTGTTGATCCCTGCCTCCTGTACAATGTTAGGAACCTCCATCCATAGTTCTTCAGGCACTCTGTCTATCATATCTAATCCCTTGAATCTATTTGTCACTTCCACTGTATAATTGTAAGGGATTTGATTTAGGTCATACCTGAATGGTCTAGTGGTTTTCCCTACTTTCTTCAATTTAAGTCTGAATTTGGCAATAAGGTGTTCATGGTCTGAGCCACAGTCAGCTCCCAGTCTTGCTTTTGCTGACTGTAAAGAGCTTCTCCATCTTTGGCTGCAAAGAATATAATCAGTCTGATTTTGGTATTGACCATCTGACGATGTCCATGTGTAGAGTCTTCTCTTGTGTTACTGGAAGAGGGTGTTTGCTATGACCAATGCATTCTCTTGGCAAAACTCTATTAGCCTTTGCCCTGCTTCATTCTGTACTCCAAGGCCAAATTTGCCTGTTACTCCAGGTGTTTTGTGACCTCCTACTTTTGCATTCCAGTCCCCTATAATGAAAAAGACATCTTTTTTGGGTGTTAGTTCTATAAGGTCTTGTAGATCTTCATAGAACCGTTCAACTTCAGCTTCTTCAGCATTACTGTTGGGGCATAGGCTTGGATTACTGTGATATTGAATGGTTTGCCTTGGAAATGAACAGAGATCAGTATGTCGTTTTTGAGATTGCATCCAAGTATTGCATTTTGGACTCTTTTGTTGACTATCTACAGTAGTAGATACAGTGGTCATCCAAGTTAAATTCACCCTTTCCAGTCCATTTTAGTTTGCTGATTCCTAAAATGTCCACGTTCACTCTAGCCATCTCCTGTTTGACCACTTCCAATTTGCCTTGATTCATGGACCTCACATTCCAGGTTCCTATGCAATATTGCTCTTTACAGCATTGGACCTTGCTTCCATCAGCAGTCACATCCACAATTGGGTGTTGTTTTTGCTTTGGCTCCATCTCCTCATTCTTTCTGGAGTTATTTCTCCACTGATTTCCAGTAGCATATTGGGCACCTACTGACCTGGGGAATTCATCTTTCAGTGTCCTGTCTTTTTGCCTTTTCATACAGTTCATGGGGTTCTCAAGGCAAGAATACTGAAGTGGATTGCCTTTCCCTTTTCCTGCTTAACCACAAAACCAAGCAGGCTTGCTTAGCAACAAAACCATGCAAAAGAAGCCCAAGACCTGCCCCTCAAACAATAAAACAATGGTGTGATTGTGTGGTGTGGCATGAACCCTCCTCTTGGGAACTATAATAGCTGTTTTTTCCATGGCAGTCATCTCCTGATCTGCCGGCCTCACATATTTGAATAATAATGAATCTTACATCTTCAAACAAGCAAGAAGGGGAAAAGGAAGAGCTCATTTCTGGACATGCTGAAAGGAGCATGGCCATGGGCCACCCTGCACACTGGGGGGATACACAGGGCAGGCTGCATTGTCAGGATACCCATGTCACTCACCAAGGAAGCTGGCTTTGCAGCCGAGTAGATGTCCTCCATGTCCACTGCAGTCTTGGCTACCTTCTTCCTGTAGGTCTTCACTCTGATGAGAGAGAGGGTCTGTGACACAAGGTCACTCTTTTGAGGCTCAAGTGAGTGATTAATGCAGGTCAAGTGTAGGGCCAGACCAATATATCCAAAGAAAACCACAATTCAAAAAAATGCATGCACCCCAATGTTTATTGCAGCACTATTTAAAATAGCCCGGACATGGAAGTAACCTAAATGTGCCTTGACAGATGAATGGATAAAGAAGTTGTGGTGCCTATATGCTATGGAATATTGCATGCATGCGTGCTAAGTCGCTTCAGTCGTGTCCAGCTGTTTGCGACCCTATGGACTGTAGCCTGCCTGGTTCTTCTTCCATGGGATTCTCCAGGCAAGAATACTGGAATGGGTTGCTGTGCCCTCCTCTAGGGGATCTTCCTGACCCAGGGATTGAATCCATGTATCTTACGTCTTCTGCATTGGAAAGTGGGTTCTTTACCACTAGCACCACCTGAGAAGCCCTACAATGGAATATTACTGGCCATAAAAAAAAAAATGAAATGCCATTTTGCAGCAACATGGATGGACCTAGAGATTATCACGCTAAGTGAAGTAAGTCAGACAATTATCAGTTGCTTATTCATGTCTAACTCTTTGCAACCCCTTGGATTGTAAATCACTAGGCTCCTCCGTCCATGGAATTCTCCAGGAAAGAATATTAGAGTGAGTTGCCATTTCCTTCTCCAGTGGATCTCCCTGACCCAGGGATAAAATTCAGCTCTCCTGCAGATTATTACCATCTGAGCCACTAGAGTAGCCTGAAGTCAAACAGAGAAAGACAAATATATGAAATCACATAAAAAAATCATATGAAATCTACAAAAAAAAAAAATGGCACAAATGAACTTATTCACAAAACAGAAATAGAGTCACAGGTGTAGAAAGCAAACTAATGGCTACCAGGGCAAAAAAGAGGGGGAGGGATAAGTTGTGACATTGGGATGGACATATACACAGTACTATGCATAAAACGGGCTTCCCTGGTGGCTCAGTGGTAAAGAATCTGCCTGCCAATGCAGGAGATGCAGGTTCGATCCTTGGGTTGGGAAGATCCCCTGGAGAAGGAAATGGTAACCCGCTTCGGTGTTCTTGCCTGGAGAATCCCATGGACAGAGGGGCCTGGTGGGCTACAGTCCACGGAGCCCCAAGGAGTCGGCTATGACTTACAGACTGAGCACGAGCATGATGCATAAAATAGATAAGTAATAAGAAGCTACTGTACAGCACAGGGACTCTACTCAGTACTCTGTAATGACTCATGTGGGAAAAGGACCTAAAAAAGAGTGGATATAGGTGTATGCATAATGCATTCACTTTGATGTATACCTGAAATTAACACAGCACTATAAACCAACTATACTCCAATAAAAATTTTAAAAGGGTAGAGTAAGTCCAGGAGCCTTTATCATAAAACTGTAACAAGACCCCCCACCCCCACCCCATCAGGTCCTGAATGTCTAGGACCAGGGCTGGGAGCACCGTCATGCCTGACTAGGTGGCTACTAGCTGGATTCTCATTACCCCTGCAACCCTGCCCTTGCTCTGGGGCCTCGAAATTCCTCCAGGCCCCTCTTCTCCTCCACTGGCCCACACCCAGCCCAGCTCACACGAAGAAGATGAGGCCGAAGCAGAGAACAAGCAGCATGGTGACACCAGCTCCCGCGATGGCCCCCTCGGTCACTCCTGCCCCCGTCCCCGATTCCCCTGCAGATGAGAGAGACACCTGGAGAGAATTCCAACCTTGACTCCTCTTCTCAGCACGCAGAGGGGTATCCCGCCCCTCACGTGCAGAGTCCAGCCCCTCGGTTCCCCCTCCCCTCTCAGAACCTCAGCCTTTTGCAGAAGGGCACGATCTAAGCGGTACCACCTCTCCAGCCCACACTCTTCCAAGAAACTTCTGCTCTCCTTGGAGTCAGCTACTTCTCCATCCACGGTCTCTATGTAACAGACCCTATGCCCGGCCACAGCAGAACCATGAGGCTCTGAGCCCCGTGGACATTTCAGACAGACAGACAGACAGCGAGTCTTTGGGGATGCTGAAAGGCCTTGCCCCTCCTTCCTCCCAGGGTGGGTGTCTAAATCTGCTCAGGATGGCCTCTGTTGGCGCTGTCACTCAGTTCACAATGGTGTTTTGAGCCTCTAGAAGGAACTGGAAGAAGGAACCTTCTCAAACCTTCATATCAGATCCAGAGAGTGCTCCTGGCCCTGCCTGGCCAAGCCTCCTGGGACCCCAACACTCAAGATGAGGTATATCTGGACATTACTTGTCATTGATTGGATGGGCACTGCTGGGAGACTGCTGATGGGGCTCACTGTCCAGTTGTCCTGACCCGTGGGGCTAGAGCAATGAGGGGAGCACTGGGCTAGAGAGAGGGGTCAGCGGGAGGGCTGGGGGTGGGTGGGTGGTGCTGACAGTCAAAAAATGACCCAAAGTGACATTGGGGGCAATGAAACCACTCTGAGTGGCACTCTAATGGTGGATGCATGTCATTACATCTTTGTCCAAACCCATGAAATGTACCCCAGGTGGTACAATGGTAAAGAATCCATCTACCCATCCAGAAGACACAAGAGACAGAGGTTCCATCCCTGGATTGGGAAGATCCCCTGGAGGAGGAAATGGCAACCCACTCCAGTAGCCTCGGCTGGAAAATTATATGGCCAGGAGGGCCTGGGCAGCTACAGTCCAGGCGGTGGCAAAGTGCTAGACATGACTGAGCACACGGGCACACACAAAGCATGCCATGCCAAGAGTGAGCTCTCACGTCAATCATGGACTTTGGTTGAAAAGGATGTGTCAGTGGAAGTTCACTGTAACATGCACCCTAGGAGCGGGGGGATGTTGGTAAGGGAGAGGCTGTGTGTGTGTAAGAAAGTACAGGAAGGGCAGGGGAAGTCTCTTTATCTTCTGATCAGTTCTGCTGTGAACCTTAGTGTGTTCCTCAAAATGAAGTCTAATTCATTAAAAAAAAAAAAGTCTTCCAAGGACTTCAGTGATTGGAGAAGAGCAAACAGCATGTTTAGAATGGGTGGGGAGGAGGGTGTGGGTCATTTGGCAAGACCAGAGTTGGAGGATATTGGGGACAAGACCTAATGGGGGCTTCTGTCTCAATGCAGGACCCCGCTCAAACCCCATCATTTAAATGTGGAAAGTACAGCTCTGAGCCAAGCTGACAGAGGCCCCACTCCAGCCAATGCCCCATGGTGGGGGGGGCGGGGGCGGGGCTATTTCCTACCTGTGCTGTCACCTGCGCAGATATTGCTTGGATTCTGTGAAGCACCTAGGACAGGAAGAGAGCATTTCTGTCTTCAGTTGGGGGTGGGGGGGGGATGGAGTGAGATACGTGTAGTCATCCCCTCCCCCCCACATAAACCCAGAAGCCACAAAAATCCAGCAAGGACAGGGCATATGTCCCTCTAGACCCCTCCTTAGCCAGGCCTCCAGGACAAGGGCACCTCGCATCCCCAGCCTGGTCCCCCTGCCCCCACACCCTCAGGCCCCCCGGGCATGCTCACCCCTCACTCACCGGTGACATTGAGCAGGATGGTCCACTCCACCATCGCCCCACTTCCGGGGAACTTCACTTGGCAGGTGAGCCTGGTGCCGTGGTCCTGGGGCCGTGGGGTGAGGGTGAGCACCGACGAGAAGGGGGTCCTGGGGCCCAGGGAGCTGGGGGCAGCTGATGTCCAGGAGAAGATGGGGGGCGTGGCCCGCTCACAGGCCCAGGGCACGGAGCAGGTCAGGTTACCGGGGCGGCCGGGCTCCAGGGCCCCCAGGCTGAGGACGTGGGGCTGGTGGGTGAGGGCTGGTGAGAGGAGTGGGAGCCGGGGGATCGGGAGGAGGCTTTGAGGTGTGGCCCCCAGAGAAGCTTCAGGCTGCAGTCCAGCCCCTCCGTCTGAGCCCCCACCTGCTTTACCCTCAACGCCTCCCAGGAGGGGCCCCCACCCCAGCCCTGCCCTGGGACCCCCACGACCCTCACTGTGGCCTCTTCTAGATCCTCGGCTTACCTGTCACATTCAAGACGAACTGTTCAGGCGTGTAACTCCATTTGATAGTTCCTTTTTCTACACGAAAAGAGTAGGAACCGCTGTCGCTCTTCCTGGCGTCTCTGATCTCCAGGGAACAGTTGTTGTTCCTGGGGTCCCCAAGGAGGTGGAATCGGCCCTGGGTCTCCTCCTGAACTTGACGATCTAATTTGTTTGTGGCCACCGGGGCATCCGAGTCTACTTTGGCTGCAGCGGCAGCATGTCTGAGCCGGAGGGTGTCTGGGCGCCCTGTGTGTGAAAAGAGAAGGGGAAGGCGAGAAGGAGGTAGGGCTGCGGGGAGACCCGGGGGAGGCTGCGGGGGAGCACGAGCCTCTGTTCACGGAAGAGGAACTTCAGAGCCGGAGTTCCTCCTCCACCACACACAGCGGACAGGACGCCCCTCCGCCCAGAGACCCCGGAGACTTGCCCAGAGAGGAGCAGACACGCAGGGGACCCCTGTCCTGACCCCCATCTCGGGCTCGTCCCTCCAGCATCAGAGCTTGGACCTGTGAGGACGCTGAGGGCTGAGACTCAGGCGGTCTCCTAAGGTTCCCCCATCCGAGCTCCGCTGTCTACGCCAGCGCTGTTCAACTCCTCTCTTGACCCGGAGAGTCACAGCCTCACGGAGACCCTCGGGTGGTCATTCCTGCCAGATGTCGGGCTCTTTAAGGTCTGTGGGAGTGTCTGTAGCATCAGCCAAGAAGGGACTCCTGGATGGAGTGAAGGCAGCAGCCTGCCATCCATTCACCCATCTCCCCAGCGGTGAGCGTCTCTGGGTGGTGACCTGGAGGCCAGAAGGGATCTGACTCACCTGGTCCCCGCCCAAGAGATGGCCCCGCCCGGGGCCCTCACTTCCTCCCCCGACACACAGCGCTGCTGGATCTAGAGCTTTGTCACTGGTGAGACTGCCATGAGTCCTGGCCGCATTCAGGGGTTTCTGAATTATGACATGGGATTTTTTAAAGAAAAAAGCTTCTACTATGCTGATTCACAAACTTTCAATTGCGTTTTCAAAATAAAACTGTATAGCATCTTGCTTCACGTGAAACAAAAGGGGCAAACACATGTTCTGCGAGTCAGTGCAGACAAAACTTCTTTTTTTTTTTTTTTTTTACAAAACTTCTTTTAAATGTGCCCCCAAAGGATTTACTTTTCAATGTAATATAGTTTTTATTTTGTATTAGAATATAGTTGACTTACAAGACTGTGTTAGTTTCCATTGTACGGCAACATGATTTAGTTATACACATACATATACCCAATCTTGTTTAGATTTTTTTTTTTCCATATAGGTTATTACAGAATATTGAGGAGAGTTCCTTCTGCTCTACATTAAGTCCTTGTTGACTATCTCTTTTACAGATAGTGGCGTGTACATGAGGCTTCCCTGGTGGCTCAGTCGGTACAGAATCTACCTGCAACGCAGGAGACCTGGCTTCCATCCCTGGGTGTGAAAGATCCCCTGGAGGAGGGCATGGCAACCCACTCCAGTATTCTTGCCTGGAGAATCCCATGGACAGGGGAGCCTGGAAGGCTATAGTCACAGGGTCGCAAAGAGTCGGACACCACTGAAGCGACCTAGTACACATGCATGCAGTGTGTATGTGTTAGTCCCAAACCCCTGTTTTATCCCTCCCTCCACCTCCTTTCCCCTTAGGTGACCATAAATTTGTTTTCTATGTCTATAAGTCTGTTTCTCTCTTATAAACACATTCATTTGTATTATTTTGTAGATTCCACATGTAAGTGATTTGTATAATGTCAGTCTTTGACTTATTTTAATGTGATATTCTCTGGGTCCATCCATGTTGCTGCAAATGGCATTATTTCCTTTCATTTTATGCCTGAGTAATATTCCACTATATACATAGACCATTATCTTTTTCATCCATTTATCTATTGATAGACACTTAGGTTGCTTCCACATCTTGGCTATCGTGAATAGTGTTGCTATGAACATGGGGCTGCGTGTATCTTTTTGAATTAGAGCTTTCTCCAGGTCCAGGAGGGGGACAGCTGGATCAGATGGTAACTCTATTTTCAGTATTTTAAGGAAGCTCCATTGTGTTCTTCATAGTGGCTGCACTAGTTTACATTCCCACCAATAGTGTAGGAAGCTTCCCTTTTCTCCACACTCTCTCTAGCATTTACTACTTGTAGCCTTTTTTGTGAGTCTGGCCGGTAGCAGTTGATGCCTCATTGTGGTTTTGATTTGCAGTTTCATTAAGATCCTTTTCAAAAAAAGGTTCAGTCATATGACTGCCCTCCTCAAAGACTTCCGGATGCTGCCTTGGCCTGAAGCCCTCCCAAAGTCTGTACGGCCTTGGAGTCTGCAGCGACCCCCCAGCTCCTCCCCACACCCCTTGGCTTCCCTGTGCTGTCACACGCTAGCCTCTGGTTGCTTCCGCAGCATAGCACCGTGGCATCGGAGCTTTCACGCTCCCTGTCTCCCCTCCCACACGCCCACCGTCTTGGGGTAACTCCCTCAGATGAATGCAGAACCTGCTTTCTCGCCATCATCAAGCCTGGGCTCAAACCTCACCTCTTGGATATACAAAATTGTCCCCCTAAATGCCATGTGGTCTTTCCCTGGGTGATGCTTCTCTAAACACGTATTACCATCCAACACTCTCAATTTTCCCCCTTATTTCCTTTTGTTTGTATTTTTGTTTCCAGAAGGACAGCTTCTTCATGATAAAGCTGTAAAAAATAAACTTTATTATTGATGTGTTGGACCCCTGTGTTGGGAAGATCCGCTGGAGGAGGTCATGGCAACCCACTCCAGTATTCTTGCTTGGGAAATGCCATGGACAGAGGAGCCTGGCGGGCTACAGTCCATGGGGTCACAAAAGAGTTGGAAAGGATGGAGCGTGCATGCCACGCCACACCATGGTTGATTTGCAATTTACAAAATGTTGTGTTAGTTTCTGCTGTCCAGCAAAGTGATTCAGTTATGTCAGGGGAGTGTGTAATTTCCCCAGTTCTGGCTCGTTACCGCAAAAATTTGAAGTGACGGACATTAAAGCCTTCAGACAGACCACGCTACAGCTTTCAGACAGATCAGTGTTACAGCTCCGTGTTATAGCTCAGCTTTATTTAGAAAATAAAGGAAAATACATCCTCGAGGCGTGAGGGCATGCGGACCCAAAAGACGCGAAGAGAAGAGTGAGCGAGAGAGAGCACGTGCCCATGCGTGTGTGCAGAAGAGAGACACCCTCCCCTTAGGCCCATTGGCTCCTCTTTTAATTGTTTTTTCTCCCCCTGGGACTGACCTATGTAAATTGGGCTAGGCAGGAGTGCTGTTTGTTCTACCTGAGGTCCTCGCTCAGGTCCTCAGACTTTCCTTTGTTCTATTTTCATGGGCTTTTCCCTTCCTTGTCTTTTAGTCACCGCCTTTCTGGACTCCTTTTTCCTATTCTAACTACCTAACAGGTATACATACGTATGTATTCTTTGTCAAATTCTTTTCCATAATAGTTTATCACAGGATGTTGAATATAATTCCCTGTGCTACACAGTAGAATGAGGGTCTTGCTGTTTATCCATTCTATATATCACAGTTTGCATCTGCTAGCCACAAAATCCCAGTCCATCCATCCTCCACCACCCCTTCTCCTAGGCAACCACAAATCTGTGCCCTATGCTTGATGACAGATTTTTTAAAATATATATTTATTTACTTTTTTTTTTTAATTTAGCTGTCTTAGTTGTCCCATGCAGGATCTCTGGTTGCACCATGTGAACTCTTAGTTTCAGCATGTGGGATCTAGTTCCCTGACCCAGCATCAAATTCAGCTGACCTACTGGGAGGGAAGTCTTAGCCACTGAACCACCAGGGAAATCCCAATGACACAGAATCTTGATGTTGTATTCATTGATGCCCACTGGGCACCTACCACAAGATGGCTTAGAGTAGATGTGCAGTAGTACTTTATGAATACTCTGTAATTAAACGTATGTGGCTCTTCCAGCCAAAAGCAGACAATGAAGTGCACACATACACACACACAGTGATGCTGAAGCCTGAGCCTGCAGGTTGCTCAGGACTCAGAGAGGCAGGGATGGGGAGGAAAGGGCGTTTCAGGAGAAGGCACTGCACATAGAGTCTCAGAGTCACATTCTGACCAGGCTGGGTGTGGAGATGTTGGGAGATGCAGACAGAGGGCTAATCTGTGTGGAGAGTCAGCATGGAAGGCCCACCAGGGCTTCGAATCCAGCCTGCGGTGTGGGCCCCTCCGTCCCCTGAGTGGGGAGGAAACACAGCTGCTCCGACTCTGTGGGAAGTGGATGGGAACCGTCTCTGGTGAGTCCTCTGACCCAAGGGCCTGTTTCCCAGCGAGAGGAAGCAGGAGGTGGGTAGGTTCAGTGACTCAGGGAAGAGATGAGGCTGCTGGAAGGACCAGGGTCAGGACCAGGAGGAGACGGGCTTCAAGATGAGCTGTGCTTAGGAGGAAGGTTGGGGAGCACTTAGTGAATTGTTGGATCCAAGAAGAGGGAAGGGGGTGATGAAAGGGGGGAAAGCCTGCCCCCTCCCCAACATCTGGGCTTAAAGCTGCCTTGTCATCAGTGTGACAGGGAGCCAAGCAGAGAAGTGAGTTTGGGGAGGAAGATGGCAGCTCTATTTCAGCCACGCTGAGCCGGGCAATCCTGAAGGTCATCCTGGGGGAGTGTGCAGTGTGATGTTGGGCAGTGAGATGCCTGCATCACTCACCTGAAGGGTTAACCTGGGATGGTGGTTGCATCTGAGGTGCCCCCTGCCGGTCTGGCTGTCTTCCTCCTGCAGGACCTCCCGCTGAGAGAAGAAGAGACCAGGCCCTTTCACTCTGACCAGAACAGGGTGCAGCTGGGCAGCAGACTCACCCAACCTTGACTCCAGACAGAGAACAGCCCATACCCCAGGGGAACCCTAAGCACTGCCAACCCCCACCCCTCCTTCCCGTCAGCCTCCTGCTGGCCCTGCCCCACCCCCAGTGGTGCTGGTTCAAGGCTGCAGCCCCCTGCACCCTGCCCTCCCCTCCCTTCTCCCGGGGCAGTGCTCACAGCAGGGCCAGAAGGCAGAGGAAGAGGAGTGCGATCTTGACAGCCGCTTCCCAGAAGGCCACGAGGACTGGCAGGGACAGAGTAAAGGAACAAAGTAGGTGATTAAATCGTTACTCCCACTAGGGGATCGTAGGTAAAGAAGAAGGTATGAGCGACCCTGCAAGTTAATGGACACTCAAGGGAGCAGTCTTGCTTAGCAACAAAACCAGGAGCTGCAGCATGAGACGTGGCCCCAAACAATGAAATGACCGAGGGATGAGATCCCACACCATGCCCAGCAAGCTCAGTTAATGAGCCCTAGGACGTGCTGTCTGCACACACACAAATAATAAATTATGGAGAGAGGACCCTTCGAAGTGAAAGACCCTCACAGTATGGAGACATGAATTTTCCATGATGCCACGGCAGCCCCAGCTTGACCATGTGGGGACAAGCAGACTCCCCAGCATGATGTGGAAGGGGACCTAGTGAGGGAATGTGACATCTACTCAAGAATGAAGAAGGAGCTGAACTTCTCCCTGTTTCCACCTTTCCTTTTTTATGAGACTTAAACCACTGAGATCTGGGGGCACAGCACTCTCTGGAAATTCGGCTTCTAAGCCTCCTCAGCGTCCTGTTCTAATAAATCACTTCTTGTCCGTGACTTTGCCTCTCGATGAATTCTTTCTGTGCTGAGTCATAAAGAACCCGAGCTCATTGGAGCCCCCCAAGACGCCACCTGTGGTCTCAGCACCACCTTGCCACACGCCCTGACTGCCCTGCAGGAAAGTGGGACCAGGACAAATTCACCTGCTGGACCTCATCCTGACTCCTTCCTCTCCCATGAGGACTCCAGGCCTTCTTGACTCACTGGATGCCAGACCCCATGTGCCCATGCCTTACCCCATCCCCATGCCCTTACCATCCAGCAGTTGAATGGGGGGGGGGCAGTGCAGAAAATGCATGAGTTGGACTTCATGAAAATGACAAATTCTGTTTGTCGATCACCAGCCCAGGTTGGGTGCATGAGACAAGTGCTCGGGCCTGGTGCACTGGGAAGACCCAGAGGGATCGGGTGGAGAGGGAGGTGGGAGGGGGGACCGGGATGGGGAATACATGTAAATCCATAGCTAATTCATTTCAATGTATGACAAAAACTACTGTAATGATGTAAAGTAATTAGCCTCCAACTAATAAAAATAAATGGAAAAAAAAAATTCTGTTTGTCAATTGACACTACTGAGAAAGTGAAAAGCCAACCATGTAATGGGGGAAAATATTTTCACATCATAGATTTGATATGTATGTAGTACCCGGCCTATATTAAAAAAATCTTACAATTCAACAACAAAAAGACAAACATTGCAATTTAAAAAATGGAACAATGGATTAAAAAATTTCTCCAAATGACAAATAATTTCGTGTTGAAAAAGGAAGAACATCATTACTCACTCCATAAACATAATTTAAATCATGTTGAGATATCTCTTCACACCCAAGTTTCTTTTGCAGTTTTAAAGGAAAATAACAATATCAACAAGGATCTGGAGAAATTGGAACCAACATATATTGGTGGTAGGAACATAAAATGGTCCTGCCAGTGTGAACAACAGCTGACATTTCCTCAGAAATTTAAATGTAGAATCTACCATTTGACCCAGAAATTTCACTCCTAGGTATATGCCCAAGAAAACTGCAGTCAATTATATATATATATGTGTGTGTGTGCATAGCAGCATTGTAATAACCCCAGAGTAGAAATAACCCAGATGTCCATCCATTGCTAAACAGATAAACAGAAGCTGGTCCATCCATGCAATGAAATATTATTCAGACAAAAAGAAATTGATACTGATACACTTTTAATAAGTGATCCTGGAAAATGTTTTTTATGAGAAACGAGCCACATGGAAAAAGCCACAGTCTTGTAACATTCCACTTGTATGAAATGTCCCCTATAGGCAGATCCATGGACATGGACAGCAGGTCAGTGGTTGCCCAGGGCTGGGGAGGACAGTGTGGTGAGTGACTACTTCATGGGCACCAGGCTTCCCTCTGGGATGATGAAAATCTGAGATGGATGGATTTAGGGAGTGGTGAGACTTGTACATCGTGAACATTCTCGAGGCCAAATGTTGTCTGTTTTCAACTGGCTAAAATGGTCGATTTTATTTTATCTGATTTTTCCTCAATTAAAATAATGCATTTAAATAAGCACTGCCATATAGAGATGCCAGTTTTCACCTGGTATGAACAAAGAGCAAAAGGTTTCACCATATATGGCCGTGGTGAATACAAACGCTTTCAAAATATCCGACCCATGAAAACATGCATAAGTTACAAGCTATTGGGAGAAAATAAACAGCAGAGCTGGAGGAGTCAGGTGGTGGATGGTGAGGCGCTTTGAGGGGTGGACTCTGCCCTGGGGATGTCGCCCTGCTCTTGGGGAGCAGAAGAGGAAGTGGACAAATCCCAGGGGAGTGAGGGGCCAGTGGAGACAGCTGGGCAGAGTGGCCATGGGGGCAGAGGAGGGGCAGGGACCACTGGGCTCACCGACTGGGGGCTCCGGTCACTGGGGTGGGTCCAGAGTGAGGCAGGGACCAGCAGAGCCCAGCCCAGCCCTGAGCCGGAAGCAGACTCACCCCCGACAGCCCAGGAGGGGCCCTCCTTCATACCTGTGCTGTTTCCTTGGAAGTCTCTGGTCACTGGGCTCTGTGGAGCACCTGGGACGGGAAGAGAGGATTTCCTTCCTCAGCGGGAGGACTGGGGTGACGGAAGTGTAGTCATCCTATCCATGCCCCTCCACTCAGATCTGCAGAACCCAGGAGGGACAGGCATACATCCCTCTAGCCCCCTCCTTAGCTGGGCTTCCAGAACAAGAGCACCTCGCATCTCCCGCCTGCCCCCACACCCTCAGGCCCCCCCGGGCATGCTCACCCCTCACTCACCGGTGACATTGAGCAGGATGGTCCGCTCCACCATCGCCCCGCTTCTGGGGAACTTCACCTGGCAGGTGAGCCTGGTTCCATGGTCCTGGGGCCGTGGGGTGAGGGTGAGCACTGACAAGAAGGGGGTCCTGGGGCCCAGGGAGCTGGGGGCAGCTGACGTCCAGGAGAAGATGGGGGGCGTGGCCCGCTCGCAGGCCCAGGGCACGGAGCAGGTCAGGTTCCCGGGGCGGCCGGGCTCCAGGGCCCCTGGGATGAGGATGTGGGGCTGGTGGGTGAGGGCTGGTGAGAAGAGGGGGAGACAGAGGATTGGGAGGCGGCTTTGAGGTGTGGCCCCCAGAGAAGCTTCAGGCTGCAGTCCAGCCCCTCCCTCTGAGCCCCCACCTGCTTTGCCCCCAATGCCTTCCCAGGAGGGGCCCCCACCCCAGCCCTGCCCTGGGACCCCCACGACCCTCACTGTGGCCTATCCTAGATCCACGGCTTACCTGTCACATTCAAGACGAACTGCTCAGACGTGTAACCCCATTTGATACTTCCTTTTTCCACACGAAAAAAGTAGGAACCGCTGTCGCTCTTCCTGGCGTCTCTGATCTCCAGGGAGCACTTGTTGTTCCTAGGGTCCCCAAGGAGGTGGAATCGGCCCTGGGTCTCCTCCTGAACTTGACGATCTAATTTGTTTGTGGCCACCGGGGCATCCGAGTCTACTTTGGCCCCTTCCCGGAACCAGAAGCCGTGAACAGGGCTAGAAGCACTGAGGTGCAGCAGCAGCGGCAGCATGTCTGAGCCGGAGGGTGTCTGGGCGCCCTGTGTGTGAAAAGAGAAGGGGAAGGCGAGAAGGAGGTAGGGCTGCGGGGAGACCTGTGGGAGGCTGCGGGGGAGCACGAGCCTCTGTTCACAGAAGAGGAACTTCAGAGCCGGAGTTCCTCCTCCACCACACACAGCGGACAGGACGCCCCTCCGCCCAGAGACCCCGGAGACTTGCCCAGAGAGGAGCAGACACGCAGGGGACCCCTGTCCTGACCCCCATCTCGGGCTCATCCATCCAGCAGTGGGACAGGGACGAGGAATGTGGCTTATGAACCTCCAGTCCTCTGGAATTTGGTGGAGGCTCCTCCTGACCTGTCATGGGTGCACCAGGGGTTCTGCAGACCTCAGAGGCATGTGGGTGGTGGGGGGATGTGGTAGATGTCTCGATGGCTAAGTCCTTCTTCCCTGGCCAGGGAGGGTCACCCTGTTGTCCAGACCAGTGGTTCTTACCCCTGCCCCAAAACGCCAGGGGACATTGGATATTGGGTGAAACTGGCATCCGATGGCTGTGGGCAAGCCCAGGGAAGCTTCCTAATATGCTATACTCTACCCCCAGTCCCTACTCCTGCGACAGAAATCATCCAGCCCCAAAGTCAACAGTGTTGGGACTGAGAAACCCTAGTCCAGACCCTAGAGGTCCTCAGTTCCTCCAGGTGTGGAACTGACATTGAGTAAGGGCCTTTCCCAGAGACAGACTGCCCCACGTCCCCTGCCTCTCATTTGTAAAAGAAAGTTTTAGCCTCCTAAAGTGAACGTGAAACTGTTAGTCACTCAGTCTTATCTAATTTTGCACCCCATGGACTGTAGCACGCCAGGCTTCCCTGTCCTTCACTATCTCTTTGAGGTTGATCAAACTCATGTTCATCGAATTGGTGATGCCTTCTAACCATCTCATCCCCTGTCGTCCCCTTCTCCTCCTGCCCTCAATCTTTCCCAGCATCAGGGTCTTCTTCAAGGAGTCAATTCTTTTCATCAGGTGGGCATAGTAGAGGGAGTGGGAAGGGCCAAGCTCTTTTCTGGGATTGTCTGATGTCTAGGTTCCCTGTTTCAAACAACCAGTAGCCCTGTGAGCAAGAGGAAGTTCTGACAGAAGTGTGCGTGTGTGTGTGTGCGTGTACAGAAGAGGAACCTCAGACCTTTTCTCATCACAGCTTGGCAGTCTTGAGAAATGGTGCTCATTTACCCATTTTTCAGAGAGATGCTGCAGTCCAGAGAAGGCAACGAACAACCCAAGGCACTTGGGAAGCCGGGACCTGCTGCCCCTTTTCCTGGCTGCCTCCCCGCATCCTGTCCTTTGGAAACTGCTCTGGTACCAGGGGCTTCCCTCATAGCTCAGTAGGTAAAGAATCTGCCTGCAATGCAGGAGACCCAGGTTCGATTCCTGGGTCGGGAAGATCCCCTGGAGAAGGAAATGGCAACCTACTGCAGTATTTTGCCTGGAGAATCCTATGGATAGAGAAGCCTGGCAGGCTACATTCCCTGGGCTCACAATGTTGTAGGCACTCTTTCCAGAAATAAACTCACTCAGAAGGACATTGCAGATATTGGAGTGCACAGGCGGGACCAAGGCAAAGTCTCCTCTTAGCCAAGGATGCTGACCAGTTTTTGTGAAAACCTTATATACCCTAAGTGTACGTGCCCAAACCTACCTCCCCAAATTCTCTGAAACTAGTCTGAACAAAGGAAAAGAAAGGGTTAACAATCAAAGTTAACCCTTGATTCTTATGCCTTAAGCCTAGGTAGTTAACAGTGGACCATTATCAATAGGCCTGTGGTCATACCCCAATAAGCATAATAGAATGTATGATTCTATTCAGTTATACAGATAATTAGGGTATTCTTTTAGGGGACAGAGAGCCCTGGGACTCTTCCTTCCGGGGGCCTGTTTTTCCAGTTGCTGTGTCATTTTCATAGATCCTGGGCACATAGTTCAAAGTCCACAGTCCGGCCCCAGATGGAGTCCTGCTTTCAAGACGGAGCCTTCACTTGCATAAAAGAATCACTTGCAGTAAGGAATTTACTTATGGTTGGAAGGGATGCCCACAACATATGAGTGTTAGGAACAACAGTGTCAAAGTACAGCAATTCTGTTTATCCCTTGAAGACCTGGGACAGACCTTCATCCTCAGTGCCAAAATGGCAGTGTTAACAGGGACTGGTACAAAGGCTTTGAGCCTTGTAATCTTCTGTGATGGCCTTCAAGCCTTGAAGGACTTCTTGGGCATGTGTGCCAAGGTTCGTGAGTTGCGGCCAACTCTCTGCACCTCTGTGTGCCATAGCCCACCAGGCTGCTCTGTCCAAGGGATTCTCCAGGCAAGAATACTGGAGTGGGTTGCCATGTCCTCCTCCTGGGGATCTTCCCAACCTAGGGATCGAATGTGACACCTGGGAAGCACTGAAGGTCTTCTTGCTTATAGGATATTAATTCTGAGAAGCAATTCTGAGAGCTCTATTTGAATTTTTAAAGTCTTTATGTATTTTTAAAATTTATTCATTTATTTGGCTGTGCTGGGTCTTCACTGCTGCGTGGGCTTTTCTCTAGTTATGGTGAGTGGGGGCTTCTCTAGCTGGGGGGCACTGGCTTCTCATTGAGCAGCCTTCTCTTGTTGCAGAGTACAGGCTCAGTACTTGTGGCTCTTGGGCTCAGTTGCTCCCCAGCATGTGGGATCTTCCAAGATCAGGGATTGAACCAGTGTCTCCTACATTGGCAGGTGGATTCTTTACCCCTGAGCCACCAGGGAGACCCTAAAAGTCTTTAATGAATTTGTTGCAACATTGCTTCCGTTTCATGGCTTGTTTTTTTGACTGTTGAGGCACATGGGATTCCAGCTCCCTGATCGGGGATTAAACCTGCATCTCCTGCATTGGAAGGTGAAGTCTTAACCACTGGACTACTTCCTAAGGGAAGTTCACTGGATTTTGGTGGGAAGTGTACTGTGACTTATCAGTTGGAGATTTTGCCCAGGAGGAGGGTAGCTGATTTCGTAGAGATAATTGATCAGTGTTTCCAGGTTCAGCTTTAGCTTTGTCAGAGATGGAACAAAGATAAGATGTCAAAGGTTCATTTAATTCACTTGGTTGGCTGCTGTCAAATTCTACTACTACAGTCAAATTCTAGAATTAGTTTCCCCTTTGGAAGAAAGATATGACAGCGTGATACTTCTTTAAGGAGTCTCAACCTGATGAATACATAGGGTGGAGGAACAAAGGAGAAAAGGGTGAGCACCTCAAAGGTCTAAACAGAGGGAACAGGTTCAGAGGCAAGAGTCTCTTGGGGTTCACTGGAGATCCCCACTGTTTGGATGATTTTAGTACTCAAGGCAGGGGCTGTTTTATGATAGTGGGTTGAGCACCAAATGTGTATCTACAGTGTGAATTAGGACCAGAGAGGTTTACTCCCAATCTAGAGAAGTATTTCTCAAATCAGTGAAGAGGGAGAAAGGGGGAAGGGGCCCTATAGCTCCTCAGTGCTCTGTCATTGAGAATTCGGAGCAAAAAAGCAACTTAAGACTTTTAATTTATGGCAATCCTTTCCAATGTCCTGGGTGGTTTTTTTTTTTTTGCAATAAGAGAAGAAACAAGGAGGGTCTTGCTTTCATTGAGGGGTCTTCAATGGCTGGTGTTAAAGATGAAGAATTTGGGGGGAGGTCTTCCTTCTAAGGAACTCCTCTAGAGAGTGAGAGAGCTGTTTTTCCAGATTAGCTAAGTCTTCAACAGCACTTACCACCCCATTCTGTTCCTTTTTATGAGAAAGAAAGGTCCCAGTTCAGCCCATTAGCAAACATAGAGTTAAAAGCTACCTGGATGGAATCAACATCTGAAGGAAGATCAGGATATCCTTTAAAATAACCTGAAGCTGATTGTGATAGTCATAAATGTAAGTTGAGTGCAGAGAAAAAGAGAGTGAGCCAGGCAGTCAGGCAAGAAAAGGGAAATTTATTAGGGGGAAATGAGAGGGTAAGTGGCTCCTAAGGAGAACCAGCGTCCTCCCTTTCTGATGGAGTCCTTCTTATACCCCACCAATGAAAAATTCCCTGAAGGGATGGTCACGTAGCCAGAGGTCTGGAATCTGGTGGTCTTGCAGTTTTGAGATGATAGGCTCCAGTGAGATAACAGGATGCCATTTGGGCAATTTCAGTCTCACTGATCACTGTGCTTTATTCTTTGTTTCCGAGGTCAACATAAGGAGCCATCTTATCAGTGAGACCCCACGTGGGCCCTATCAATAAACAGGTTCATCAGATTTTTGCGTGCAAGCCTGAATTTTGTCCAATCAACAGGCTTTGGGAAAACCCTAGGAATCACATGAAGTGGCCCAGTGATTGGCCAAGCCTGACCACATATTAAATTAGCAGGCTGGCCTCCTCACAGTAATCCTAGAGAACTTTCAGGCTTTGCCCAATTAGTGGCTTTCACCCAATGGTGGATATAAACAGGTTCATCAGATTTTTGCATGCAAGCCTGAATTTTGTCCAATCAACAGGCTTTGGGAAAACCCTAGGAATCACATGAAGTGGCCCAGTGATTGGCCAAGCCTGACCACATATTAAATTAGCAGGCTGGCCTCCTCACAGTAATCCTAGAGAACTTTCAGGCTTTGCCCAATTAGTGGCTTTCACCCAATGGTGGAATCACTGGCAAGCCTTCACTTATAAGCATATGAACTAACTGATGAGTTAGTGAAACCAGGGTGATAAGTTAGGCTGACTCTATTGAAGGGTGTCCACTTAAAGCAAAACACAGAGCATGTAAGTTTTATTCAGGGTCTCCCTGAGGACTGTAACCTGGGAGACAGCTCTGAGGAACTGCTCCAAAGAGGCAGAGGAGGAGCCAGTGCGTATTTGAATTTGGGGACTGGGAGAGATGTGTCATCAAGCATACATCTTAGTAACTGATCACTGCTCATCACAAAGAACAGATATACCAAGTTAATGATTTTAGAGGTTTTTTTTTTTTGTTTTTTTTTTTTTAGTATGACTGATGCTGAAGTCTGAGATCATTGAAATTCTTTCTGAGCTGTGCATCTTGGGGCCTGATTATCCAAAGCAGAGTACCTCATCCTGAATTCCTCTCAGGGTGCACTGTTGGTGGGAGACTTCAGCAGGTAGTGACTGAAAACCCTTGTACAACTAGGTGATGAGTGATGCTGTTTGTTCTCCTTTTGGTCAAGGTGGTCCAATTCTGTTTTAAGAAAAGTAGGCTGGGATATCAAAAATTCCACAAAATGGTCACTGATATTTTAATTGCCGCATGTCCAAGGTCCTTCCTTGTGGGTATCAAGTCCTAAAGATAATCGCCCTCTCAGAAGAGTGTCTCCTC